GAATTTTTTTAATTCTTCTTTAATTTCCTGGTTGACCCATTCATTCTTCAGTAGGATGCTCTTTAGCCTCCATGTATTTGAGTTCTTTCCAACTTTCCTCTTGTGATTGAGTTCTAGTTTCAAAGCATTGTGATCTGAAAATAGGCAGGGAATGATCCCAATCTTTTGGTACCAGTTGAGACCTGATTTATGACCTAGGATGTGATCTATTCTGGAGAATGTTCCATAGGCACTAGAGAAGAATATGTATTCCGTTGCTTTGGGATGGAATGTTCTGAATATGTCTGTGAAGTCCATTTGGTCCAGTGTGTTATTTAAAGTCTTTATTTCCTTGTTGATCTTTTGCTGAGATGATCTGTCCATTTCAGTGAGGGGGGTATTAAAGTCCTCCGCTATTATTGTATTGTTGTCAATGTGTTTCTTTGCTTTTGTTATTAATTGCCTTATGTAATTGGCTGCTCCCATATTAGGGGCATAGATATTTACAATTGTTAGATCTTCTTGTTGGATAGACCCTTTAAGTAGGATGTAGTGTCCTTCCTCATCTCTTATTATAGTCTTTGGTTTAAAATCTACTTTGTCTGATATAAGGATTGCCACCCCAGCTTTCTTTTGGTGTCCATTAGCATGGTAAATGGTTTTCCACCCCCTCACTTTCAATCTGGGGGTGTCTTTGGGTCTAAAACGAGTCTCTTGCAGACAGCATATTGATGGGTCTTGTTTTTTAATCCAGTCGGATAGCCTGTGTCTTGATTGGGGCATTTAGCCCATTTACATTCAGGGTAACTATTGAAAGATATGAATTTAGTGCCATTGTATTGCCTGTAAGGTGACTGTTACCGTATATTGTCTGTGTTCCTTTCTGGTGTATGTTGCTTTTAGGCTCTCTCTTTGCTTAGAGGACCCTTTTCAATATTTCTTATAGGGCTGGTTTTGTGTTTGCAAATTCCTTTAGTTTTCATTTGTCCTGGAAGCTTTTTATCTCTCCTTCTATTTTCAATGACAGCCTAGCTGGATAGAGTATTCTTGGCTGCATATTTTTCTCATTTAGTGCTCTGAATATATCCTGCCAGTCCTTTCTGGCCTGCCACGTCTCTGTGGATAGGTCTTTTGCCAATCTAATGTTTCTACCATTGTAGGTTACATATCTCTTCTCCCGAGCTGCTTTCAGGATTTTCTCTTTGTCTCTGAGACTCGTAAGTTTTACTATTAGATGTTGGGGTGTTGACCTCTTTTTATTGATTTTGTGAGGGGTTCTCTTTGCCTCCTGGATTTTGATGGCTGTTTCCTTCCCCAAATTAGGGACGTTCTCTGCTCTAATTTGCTCCAATATACCTTCTACCCCTCTCTCTCTTTCTTCTTCTTCTGGGATCCCAATTATTCTAATGTTGTTTCGTCTTATGGTATTGCTTATCTCTCGAATTCTGCCCTCATGATCCAGTAGTTGTTTATGTCTCTTTTTCTCAGCTTCTTTATTTTCCATCATTTGGTCTACTATATCACTGATTCTCTCTTCTGCCTCATTTATCCTAGCAGTTAGCACCCCCATTTTTGATTGTACCTCATTAATAGCCTTTTTGATTTCGACTTGGTTAGATTTTAGTTCTTTCATTTTTCCAGAAAGGGTTTCTCTAATAACTTCCATGCTTTTTTCAAGCCCAGCTATTATCTTTAAAGTGATGATTCTGAACTCTAGATCTGACATCGTACTAATGTCCATATTGAGTAGGTCCCTGGCAGTCAGTACTACCACTTGTTCTTTTTGTTGAGGTGATTTTTTTCTGTCTTGTCATTGTGTCCAGAGGAGAATAGATGAATGAGAGAACAAAATGCTAACAGGGTAACAACATCCCCAGAAAATATACTCTAAACAAATCAGAAAAGACCTGAAGCTGGGGGAAAAGAAAGGGAAAGAAAGAAAAAAGAAAAAAAGAAAAAGAGAAAGATAAAAACAAAAACAGAACAAAACAAAAAAAAACAGAATATGATCAAATATGATCAGGCTGGTGCATAGATCAGTGCCACACACTAGATTTTGGGTGTATTTTGATCTGTTAGAAGAAAGTGCCTCCCAAAATTTTAAAGAAAGAAAAACTTATATATGTACAAAAATAAGGGTTGATATGAAGGGATGGAATATGATTGTAAAGATGAAAATTATAAAAAATTTTATAAAAGGAATTGATAAGTTGTTTGAAAAAAGAAGAGGATTTAAAAAAAAAAGGAAAAAAAAGGGAGAGAATGTGATCAGGCAGGAGAGTAGAACAAAACCATACACTAGAGATTTAGGGTATATTTTGATCTGTTAGAAGAAAGTATCTCAAAATTTTAAAGAGAGAACAACTTATATATGTATGCCAAAAATAAGGGTAACTACTATGAAGGGATAGAATATGACTCTAGAAATGAAAACTAAAAATGTTTTTTAAAAAAGGGATTGATAAGATGTTGGTTGAAAAAGGGAAAAAGAAAAATTCAAAAAAAAAAAAGTTAAAAAAAATTAACTTTGAAAGACTAAAGAATTATGGTAAAAAAGCCATGGATTCTATGTGCATTATTCCCCTAGCGCTGGAGTTCTGCCGTTCTCATTGATCGGTAAACTTGGCCTTGGCTGGCTGTTCTCACTGATCTTCTGGGGGAGGGGCCTGTTGCCGTGGTTCCCAAATGTCTTTGCAGGAGGTGGAATTGCCCCGCCCTTGCCAGTCCGGGCTAAGTAATCTGCTCGGGTTTGCTCTCAGGAGCTTTTGTTCCCTGCAAGCTTTCTGTACAACTTTGGAGGATGAGAGTGAAAATGGCGGCCTCCCAATATCTGCCCTGGAGGAGCTGAGAACTTGGGTACCCGCTCCTCAGTGCGCCCCTGTGGAAAAGCAATCACTCCCGTCTCCCCGGTCTCCAGCCACACTCCATGCTCACCCGGCCTGTGACCGAGCATTTCTATCTCTGGCATCCTACTCTGTGTGGAGTCTCCAAATCCAGCAGATCCCTGCGGTGCGCTCCCATGCCGCTCCTCCCGGGGGAGGAAGGGGAGTATCCCCGGATCTGCTGCTTGTTGGGTCCCTGCTGGAGGAGCAGTGGCCCGACTGTGCCCCGGATCACAGTTTATGGCAACCCCGAGCTGATAGCCCACTCCTTGGCTCCGTCTCTGCAGCTGCCTTCCCTGCTCTGATACCTGGGAGCTCTGCTGCACTCAGGCACCCCCGGTGTTTCTGTGACCCCGAGGGTCCTGAGACTACACTGTCCCACGAGAGTTCCACCCCCCGCTCAGCCACTGGAGCGACATTCCTCAGCAGAGCCAACTTCTAAAAGTTCCGATCTTGTGCTCCGTGGCTCTATCACTTGCCAGAAGCGGCCGACAGAGGCCCCTTCCCCCGTCTATCCTGCCGAATATCACCTCGGATTCACTTCTCCACACGTCCTACCTTCCAGAAAGTGGTCGCTTTTCTGTTCAGAGAGTTGTTGCTATTCTTTTCTTTGGTCTCCTGTTGAGTTCGTAGGTGTTCAGAATGATTTGATCCCTATCCAGCTGAATTCCTGAGACCAGACGAAATCCAGGTCTCCTACTCCTCCGCCATCTTGCTCCGCCCTGTTACTGAGTTTTGAATTCACTCTTGTTTTTGGTGCACAGGTATTCTCATGATCTAATGGAAATGTACATTTTAAGATCAGTGTGCTCATTGTAATGATTCTTCTTTTAATAACCTGAGTGAATTGGTACTGGGATTCACAAGGATATTTTTTTTTTTTTAAGATTTTATTTATTTATTTGAGAGAGAGAGAATGAGAGCACATGAGGGGGGGGGAGAGTCAGAGAGAGAAGCAGACTCCCCGCCGAGCAGGGAGCCCGATGCGGGACTCGATCCCGGGACTCCAGGATCATGACCTGAGCTGAAGGCAGTTGCTTAACCAACTGAGCCACCCAGGCACCCCTCACAAGGATATTTTTAAGAATAAACTTGTAGAACCCTTTGAGAATTATTTTAAATATTTTCATAGTAATAAAAATTAAAAAAAATTTTTTTTAAAAACTCAGTAAATATTTTCAAAGTAATACATCATCATTATAGATAGATACTGAATTCACTCTTGTTTTTCAATCTAGAAAAATGGGTAGAAGAAAAAAAGCATTGTTTCATCACCTGAGGCAGTCCTGTTCTGTTTTGGTTGGTTTGTTCTAGTCTTTTTACTGTGAGTTTTTAAAAAAAATTTTAAATCATGGTATTATATAATTTCGTTTCTTGCCTCTTTCACTTAACATTATACTGTCATTATAATACAAAATTAAATGTCTTAAAGTTGGGCTAATATTTTGTCAGTTGATGAATAATTTAACTATTGTGTTATTGAGCCTTGAGGTTATTTTTACGTAGTAAAAGTTTTTTTTCTTCCTTGAAAATTATTTCTTTCCTGATTGTAAAAAGTACTGTGTACTTAATGTAAAAAATAGAAAAAAATCACTAGCAGTTCTGCTCGTAACAGCTATTTTGATGTATTCCTTTTGGTCATTTTCCTATGAACATTTCTTTTGCAGTGTTGTGTTTACACAAATACACAAAACTGTATTGCACAATTTTTTTTTTAAGATTGTACATCAAATTAGCATTTTTCCATGTCACCAGCCTTCAGACCCATCATTTTTTTTTTTTTAAAGATTTTATTTATTTATTTGAGAGACAGAATGAGATAGAGCATGAGAGGGGGGAGGGTCAGAGGGAGAAGCAGACTCCCTGCTGAACAGGGAGCCCGATGCGGGACTCGATCCCAGGACTCCAGGATCATGACCTGAGCTGAAGGCAGTCGTTTAACCAACTGAGCCACCCAGGCGCCCCAGACCCATCATTTTTAATGTCCAATAAAATTCCACCAAATTCCACCACATTCTGCTATCTTGTTACCCACTTCCCAATTGTGTATTTAGGTGTTTCTTAATAGATACGAGGATTTTAAGAACTTTCTCTGTGTGTGTGTGTGTGTGTGTGTGTGTGAATGCTGTGTTTTTGTAGGTCCGTCTCACCCATGAAATTAAACACAAGAATATCGTAACTTTTCACGAATGGTATGAAACCAGCAATCATCTCTGGCTAGTGGTGGAACTCTGCACAGGTAAGTGTGTGTAAGAAGTGCTACAGATATATCCACCTTATGTAGTTTTGAAAAAACATATGATGTAGGTTTTGTTATTTTCCTTTTATGTTGCAAAGATAAGCACTTGATACTCTTGACTGTTCACTTGCACATACGTTGTTTGGTTGTTAGGGTAGGGTAAAGAGCTAAGATGTCTGATAAGAGGGAGAACGTAAAATTCAATTTGGACTTAACTTTATTTTGGTATAAAATATTACTAAATCACCTACATAAAAATTTACAAATATTTTTTTAGTGATAAACTTATCAAACAAGTTTTCCTATTCAATAAAAACCAAGTATTTTAGGTCAAGTAGCTATTAGTTAGGCAATTAGTTTATAAAGTGATCATCTTTTTATTTTTATGATGAGAATGCTTGCTGTTTATAAAACTTAAGCAATGTGAAAAAGTACAAAGATGAACCAAAAATACCACCACCTAACAATAATTAGAGATAACTTGTTAAAACTCTTGCTTGATACAACTTTCTGGGACTATATATATAGGGAGAAAACTGAATATACTGATATTATCTGGGCTTTTAGTTTCAGTGTCTTCAGGGAAAAAGGACCACTGTTAGCGTACTTATATTTATATATTGAGTAATAAAGGATCATTAAATATTAAGATATATTGTAATTTCTAGCTTTATGAGTCTTACTCATTATATTGGAACTTAGAATTTGTAAGACTAAATCATGAAAGAGGTTATCTGGAATAGTAACTTGCATTTTATTTTTTCTGAATCAGTAGGAAAGGACTATGGCTTAATTGCACAGTCGAACACACTGTTGAGGTGATCAGGGGACTTTCCCTGTGTTCCTTTTTGCTTCAGCCGTTATTTCTGCTCCCTGACCATCGTCCTAGCCTTACTACTTTATGCCTTCATTTGGAGTGGCTCCTCACCCACTGAAACAAAATAAACTTCAAAATACCTCCTACCTTCATCATAGTGTTCTGACTGAACTTTCAGATGACAGCTGAGACTTATTTTTTATTTTTTATTCTTTAAAGAGTGGGTGCAGGCTCGGGTTGGCGGGGGCTTGGGTGGTGGGGCGGGGGGGGGAGAGAGAGAGAGAGAGAATCATAAGCAGGCTCCACGCCCAGCACAGAGCCTGATCTGGGGCTCAATCTCACAACCCTGAGATCATGACCTGAGCTGAAATCAAGAGTCGGACACTTAACCTACTGAGCCACCCCGGTGCCCCAAGACTTTTTCTTCTCCCTTTTCTCTCTTCTCTCTCCCCTCCTCTTTTTTTTCTCTCTTCTCTTTTCTGTTCTTTTTAAGAGAAAGCAGAAGAGTTTTATTTGAAACCAAGTGAGGACAGCTACCTGGGATATACAATCTTCACAAAGAAAAGAGTGCTCTGGGGAAGAAACATTATTTGCAGTGTTCTGTACGTTTCTCGGAACTTGGCTCCTGTTGGAATCTTGATGTTTTGGAACCAAAAAAAAAAAAAAAAAAAGTTTGTTCCTGGCACTTAGATGGTAGAAATATGAGCAGGACCTTGGAAGAGTATAGAAATAGAATTCACAGTGTGTCTGCCTTTGATGTTTTATTTCCTCAGTGATATTACTTGAAGGGTTGTGATTTTCTCTTAAGGAAAGGCCTCTTTTCTGCCATGCAGTACTTTGTAGCATGTGATTAACTTTGCACAGGAGTAAATGTGGCTAGACTTTGCATGATGTGTTTTAAATGCACAGTTTGTATTAGTATTTACCACTAATTTTTGTAGCTGTTCAATTCCTGAGGGCTGAGTAAGAAATCATAGCACCAGAGGGATTCTCCCTGCATCCCACCTGCTTACTTACTGACTAGTCTCCAGCCTAAGCATAATTCTCTGGAAGCTGGCTCTGGAGTGTGGACACAAGTTCCTCTTAGGGTGCTTGGACCACTGTGTTCATTCACATGTGTATTTCCCCTGTCAGGCTGTCCATGTGTTCTGTTTGCTCATTTTTTAAAGGCTCAGTATCTCCCAGCATGGGAGCTCCTGGAGGCACTGTGTTATGCTGGTGGGTTAAAATGGGTGATTTTAATCAACTTGCAGGTGGTTCCTTAGAAATGGTTATCGCTCAAGATGAAAACCTCCCAGAAGATGTTGTGAGAGAATTTGGGGTTGACCTCATTACTGGATTACATCATCTTCATCAACTTGGCATTCTCTTTTGTGACGTTTCTCCTGGCAAGGTAATTCATAAAAGTTTTCATTTCCTAACTGCTTCTGTCTTCGTTATAGTGCTTTCTCAAAGGTGTTTTTATTTTTAGATAAAATTTAGATAAAATATAGACCATCTGGAAATTGAGTTAATTTTTTTATTTTAAAGGTTTTATTTATCTTAGAGAGTGAGAGCGAGTGCTATCAAGAAGAGGCAGAGGGAGAGGGAGAGAGAATCTCCAGCAGACTCTGTGCTGAGCGTGGAGCCAGTCCCCCTACCCGAGATTATGACCCAAGATGAAACCAAGAGTTGAGGCCCAACTGACTGAGCCACCCAGGAGCCCCTTGAGTTAATATATTTTTAAAATAAAAAACATAGTGCCATATTTTAGCTACCTATTGAAGTAGCTTTTAGAATGGGAAGTCTCCCCTCCTCTCAGAGTCCTTTGAGTAATTATTATTGCTGCCAAGGTATACTGTGAATGATGAGCTCAGTAGCTCTATAAAATAAGATGCTAAGCTCTTAAATTATAAGATTATGAGCCATTATTTTAGCTTGATAATGGATTTTTGGCTTTGTTGTTTGATTAGTGGCGCTATGGGTCAAATAGCTTCTTCTCTGGTAAAATTAATGATCCATAACTAAATGTGCTTCAGTGTAGTAGAGACATGAAACCTGCTTAGTTTCAGAATCACAGGTGACACTGACATTTAGAAGTTGTCTGACCCTGGGCAGGTTACCCTTTCTCTCTCTCTGTGCCTTGGCTTCCTTGTCTATGATCTGGAGATGGAGTCCGTACTATATTCTAGGGCACTTTCTGGTGTTTTCAATCAATGGCATCTATTATTTATAAGTACATATTCTTAGGGATTTGGTTTGAGTTGCTACTTTGTTAAAGTGTACATGATGAAATAAAAAGTTGAATATTGTTAAACATTATTATTGTAGGCCCTCCATATGAGAACATAATTACAGGTGAAGAGACCAAGATTTAGAAAGGTTAAGTAAATTCTCCAGTTCAGACTGCTAGTAAATGGTGGACCTAAGGCTAGATCTCTAACTTCAAAACCCTAGTTTTGAGCCTGTGAGTAAACAACACCTTGGACAGGTGGGTTTTCAAATCCTCCTTCAGCTGTCATGGAGGAGTGGTGAGGATAGACTGTTCCGTATACATTGTTCTTTATCTTTCCCAAAGGCATGTGGTTTCCCTCTGTGGTTATGATGTGTTCATTGTATACATCTGAGAATGGGCAGTTTAATATTTGATTCTGTTATTAAAATATTGGATTTATTTATTTATTTTTAAAAAGATTTTATTTATTTGACAGAGACACAGCGAGAGAGGGAACACAAGTGGGGGGAGTGGCAGAGGGAGAAGCAGGCTCCCCACTGAGCAGGGAGCCCGATGCGGGGCTCGATCCCAGGACCCTGGGATCATGACCTGAGCCGAAGGTAGATGCTTAACGACTGAGCCACCCAGGCGCCCCCAATTTATTTTTTTCTTTAGCTGCTTTTAAAAATTTGTATGCATTTAATCTTTTGAGTAGTATGAAGCAAGAAGGCCAATGCTCCTGAGTTCTTCAGTGGGATGTGAAGAGGTACTGATGGGAGTGCAAATGGAACTGGTTTCTGAACACCTTTATTTTTTCATCTTTATAGATACTCTTGGAAGGGCCTGGCATGTTGAAGTTTAGTAATTTTTGCTTGGCCAAAGTGGAAGGTGAAAATTTGGAAGAGTTCTTTGCTTTGGTGGCAGCAGAAGAAGGAGGAGGTGATAGCGGGGAAAATGTACTGAAGAAAACCATAAAAAGTAGAGCCAAAGGTATGTGGAGAGCTACAGATCAGAACCCTGTGCTGCCCAAGTCACGTGTTTAGGAGATAATGTCGACCTTATGTTTTTGCCAGCCAAAATAATATATTGAAAATAACAGTGAGTAGAAGTCTGGATATGGGGATGGCTTTGTCCATAACCCAAAGGTTTTCACATAGGTCCAATACTGTGTAAAGTACAGGGTATCTCTAACAAAGCCTATAGCCTATCCTTGGCTTTCTATGTCGCTGACTACTCATTAAACATGAGGATGGCCATTTTGTCCTGCTTCCTTCTGTATCCTCAGTACTTAGAACAGTGCCTGGCCCACACTTTCAGCTCAGTAGATATTTTTTCAACATTGATGAGTAGCTGATGCTCTGAAATTAAGGGAGATTGTTAGGGTGCATTCTTGGGAGGTGGTTTTGCCAGTGAGGTGGGGCCTGGGGTGTTAAGAGTTGCTGTACTTGAGGGGAGATTGTGAAGTGATATCTCTTTTGTAATATTCTTTTTTTAGAGAGAGAGAGAGAGAGCACGCATGTGAGTGGGGCTGGGGGCAGGAGGAGGAGAGGGAGAGAGCGAATCTTAAGCAGGGCTCCATACCCAGTGTGGAGCTGATGTGGTGCCCAGTCTCACAACCTGAGATCATGACCTGAGCCAAAATCAAGAGTTGGACGCTTAACTGACTGAGCCACCCAGGCACCCCTCTTTTGTAATGTTCTATGTGTAAATCTTTCGTGAAACTTAACATGTGTAATCATTTTTCTATGTTGTCTTTTCTCATGCAGTTGTGTTGGTAGGGACTTCATATTCATTTGTTCATTAGTATGTTTATTAACTCAATGTCGAAGGAAGAAGAAATAAAGTGCATAAGTCAACAGAAATTTAGACATGTTCTAGATACTGGAAATATGGATGTGAACAAACAGGCAAAAATCCCTGGTCTAACCAAACTTGCATTCTAATCGGGGAAGACATTCACCTTCAACACCTATGAATGATGTGCCTATTAATGTTGGGCAGGGTGCTTGGGCATCTTGGGGGTCTTATTCATGTTTGCTTTCTCAGGACCTGGCAAAGTAAAGGCAAATAGGCCCTCCGTAAGTGTTTGCTGCATGAGTGAATGTATGTATGAAATGTGATAGCATAGCAAAAATGTCACATGGGAGAGCTTTAAACCCTGAGGCCACATGAGACTGCTGCCCTGGCTGTAATGGGCCCTGGAGATACTATTTGCTGGAAGATTTACCTCAGTGGAATTTTATTTTCCAAATGATTGGGGATGACTCACTTCATGGAAAGAACATTCTCATTGGAAGATGGGAGGCTTTTCGGTGGAATTCTGGTGGGTGTTCTGCAACCGCTCAGCCGTGTGGCTTACGGGATATTAGGGGACCCTCTAGGCTTCAGTTTCTCTCATCAGTAAATAAGGGAACATGCTAACTCAAGAATTTGCTACTTCTCTGTAATATTAAACTTTGTATAAAGTCTAAGTGGCACGCACCCCTTAGTGTTCTTCACTAAACATTTCCTATTCTCCTGGATTGTATCTTCTCCCTGCGGAAGCTAAGGAAGTGTGAGCAGAAGTGTGGGGGTTACTTTGAGGTGGGCATTTTCAGAGCCCGTGTGCAGTTTGCTGCATTCTTTCCCCCTGTCTTGGTGATGGAGGAAGCATGTGTTGAGATGGCTCTTTGAGTGACTCTGAGGATCAGGGCCCCTGGGCTGACCTGTGGTGGATGTGTAGTTGGAGTAATGAATAGAGCTTTGTTGGTAAGCCAGTGGGAATTTGGGGTGTTACTGCTATATAACTTAACCTATTCTAATGAAAATATTATAATCAAAGTTTCTTTTGATTATTTAAATTGTTAACTTAAAAAAGAAGAATATACCTAGAATTGTGCCACACCTCTAACTCATGTGGATTTTTAAAACCTCTTTGTATTCTTACATATCCTTGTAAATGAAACCTTAAAATTAGAAACCATTAAAAAATGTGGAATACACGTGAAGGCATATAGTCATGTGCATGTTTTCCTACAACCTTTTTTTTTTTTACCTTACCAGGTCCCTACGAGGTAGATTTGTTTTTGGGGATTGATACAAATGCCTAACAAAGTTGTTCTTTATACTTCTAGGATCTCTTACATATACAGCGCCAGAAATTTTGAGGGGTACTGACTTCTCCATCACCAGTGACCTCTGGTCTTTGGGCTGTCTGCTTTATGAAATGTTTTCAGGTGATTCCTTTCTGGTTCATTTTAAAATCAGAGCTGGGCACACACAAAAAGGTGAAGTCTGTAGTTTGCAACAATTTTACCTGGAAGATGTGAAAAAAACCTGGCTTTTCTAAGTTTTTATATAACTGGTTTGGCTTGCTTCCCTCTGTATTCCTCCTGTATGCTTGGCGTCTAGGCATATGTCCAGAACCTTTGACATATAGGTCAAGAAACTTTTGACATATAGGTATTTTTCAGGATAATCATTTGGAAAAATGTGCCTACTTATTAAAAACTGATTATTAGTAGAAATTGTTGTAAGGTACCTTGTGCCTGGAATTATTCAGATGTGTCTAGTGGCCCATGAGCCCTTGGATCATGGTAATGGTCCATAAATGCATTAGCATATTTATTAGGATGGTAAGTTTTGAAATATAGAAATATAAAAATATACAGTGTGCCTGGTCTGTACCAAGCATCCAGTAAGTAGTTATTGCTCTATATTTTTTCCTGTAAACTTTATAATCCTAATCTATCTGTAGTTGAGATTTATTTAGAATTATTAGTGATAGCAAACTATTGTCTAATTTGCAGTTTTTCTTGTGATTTCAGGAAAACCTCCATTCTTCTCAGAAACTTTTTCAGAATTAGTTGAAAAGATTTTTTATGAAGATCCTTTGCCACCTATTCCAAAAGGTACGATTTGTGTGTGTGTGTGTGTGTGTGTGTGTGTGTGTGTGTGTGATAAATGCAGTTAGTTTACATCTGACACTTATGGTAGATTTTTATCCAAAGTCTGTTTTTGATTCCTAACCCCCAAATTTACATTTTATAAATAGTTCCAGATTTATATTTTTAGAAATGTTAGCATACCCTTTGCTTTTTTTTTTTTAAGACCTTGAAGAACAAAGTACTAATAGATTCCCTCATTTAAAAACACAAATTATTGGGGCGCCTGGGTGGCTCAGTTGGTTAAGCGACTGCCTTCGGCTCAGGTCATGATCCTGGAGTCCCGGGATCGAGTCCCGCATCGGGCTCCCTGCTCGGCAGGGAGTCTGCTTCTCCCTCTGACCCTCTCCACTCTCATGTCCTCTCTCTCATTCTCTCTCTCTCAAATAAATAAATCTTTAAAAACAAAACAAAACAAACAAAAAAAACCCACAAATTATTTTGTGCTGCTATATCAACAGAAGTCTGCTTTAAAGATTTTAAAAACCCAAACTTTTGTAATTTTTTTCTTGTGTGTGTATCATTTACTTTGTGCTCATGTTCCATGTAGTTATTTCTGTTTAGTATTCAAATAGGGACAAGTCGGGCATTTGTCAGTCCTTATCTCAATCAGAATGTCCCTGACGAGTTTTTAAAGTCTTTTAAACTAGATATAGTTGTAGTATTTTAAAAGTATTGGAACTTTAATCATATGAATTTTGATTAATATAACAATCTACCACTAACAATTTTAAGGCAAGAAAAGGAAAAAACCCCTGAACACAAAAACATAGTAAAGCACTTTGCTGGACGTACACCACAAAAAAAGTGAGTTTCAAGATACACAAATGAAAACAGGACTTTACAAAAATGTACATTTTTTTTTTTAAGATTTTATTATTTTTTTATTTATTTATGAGAGACAGAGAGAGAGACAGAGGCAGAGGGAGAAGCAGGCTCCCCGCGGAGCAGGGAGCCCGATGCGGGACTCGATCCCAGGACCCTGGGATCATGACCTGAGCCGAAGGCAGACGCTTAACCGACTGAGCCACCCAGGCGTCCCCAAAAATGTACATTTTTAGAAGAAAAAACTTTTAAAAGTAATTAATGGAAGAACTGGGAATGCAGAATTCTTTTAGGATTTCAAGAGCCATCCTGAGAAGGGAAAAAACCCAAAATCTTATTTTGAAAATAGTCCATAGTTATAAAAAAAAATGAAACTGCATTTGTTTTTTCTTTAACTTTTATATTAAGAGTGACTGATTTCTACAAAAGCTATCTCCTGTAATGATGATTTCTGATTTTTGTTTTGTTTTGAATACTCATAATATTGATTATTGGTTTGTCCTGTAAGTTAAGGATTTTTATGCAGGGAAGAGAAACTGAAAATGCAGGTGTCAAAGGTCTGGTCAGGATACCCCTGGTGGCCCAGGCTTAATTAGGGATCTTCCTTTGTGGCCATAGTGCCTAATAACATCCTCTATTTGATGTTTTTGTCCACTGTCTTCATGACTACTTGTAACCAGAGACTGATAATTTGGTTGTGGTATATTCTAATTTAAAAAGAACTAACATTTGGAGAATACTGGAATCGGCCAGGATCATAATATTGTCATATTTATTATTTTCCTGTTAAGAATCATTAAAATAGGGAGAGGGAGAAAAGAAGGATTGCAAGTATTTTTATTGTACCTTGTAAAGCCAAGTTGGTCAAATTAAGAATGCCTCAGAAAATGAGGCATAATTAAAAGTTGAAGATAAGGGGCGCCTGGGTGGCTCAGTCATTAAGCGTCTGCCTTCGGCTCAGGTCATGATCCCAGGATCCTGGGATCGAGCTTCGCATCGGGCTCCCTGCTCAGCGGGAAGCCTGCTTCTCCCTCTCCCACTCCCCCTGCTTGTGTTCCCTCTCTCGCTGTCTCTGTCAAATAAATAAATAAAATCTTAAAAAAAAAAAAAAATTTGAATATAAGGGTATGAGTTTGTCGGGCTGGTGATCCTTACCAGGCTTATTCAATAAAGAGGAAGTTGAGAGGTTAGTCAAGACTTAGTTTTTGAGATTCATGCTTTTTATGGTCTAGGAAAAAATATTTATTTTTATGCCCACACCTCACCCCCCCCATTAAATGGAGGCTGTAATTGTTAATAATGGATTCAGTGTTTTCTTAAAAATGGTATGTGCTTAAAATACTATTACTCTAAATAGTATGGTATGGTGTAGGGTATGTATTCATGTACTTACCACTTGTTTTTCTTTTTGGGAATCAATTTGTGTATAGATCCTTCTCTTCCTAAAGCTTCTTCAGATTTTATTAATTTGCTTGGTGGCTTACTTCAAAAAGATCCTCAGAAAAGGTATGTATGGGTAGTATTTTAATATGGAGAAAAGGTATCTTTTTCTCCTTTCATGTACTTCTAAAATAGTACTGTTATATACAGAGAGCTATTCGAATTACTCTTAGCATAAACTCAGATATTGTTTTTTGTTTTTTTTTTAAGAGTGTTTTCTCTCTGCAGGTATTTTTTTTTTAAGTTTTTAATTCCAGTTAACATACAGTGTAATATTAAAGATTTGTTTATTTTAGAGAAAGTGAGAGAGGGTGAATGAGGGGAGGGGCAGAGGGAGAGGGAGAAATAGACTCCCTGCTGAGTGGGAAGCCCTACATGGGGCTCCATCCCATGACCTAAGATCATGACCTGAGCTGAAATCAAGAGTCGGCTGCTTAGCCAACTAAGCTACCCAGGTGCCCCTAACATACAGTGTGATATTAGCTTCAGGTATACAATATAGTGATTCAGCACTTCCATACATCACCCGGTGCTCATCACAGCAAGTGCCCTCCTTCATCCCCATCACCTATTTCACCCATCCTCCCCCCCCACCTCCCCTCTGGTAACCAGCAGTTTGTTTTCTCTAGTTAAGAGTCTGTTTCTTGGTTTTTCTCTCTCTCTCTCTCTCTTTTTCTCTCTCTGTTTGCAGGGGTTTTTAATCATGAGGAAGTTTTAAAAGCCCATTTCTCCTTTAATATATTAAATGGTTGCATAGTAGGTTGACAGATTTTCTTGTAACTCCCAAATCCAAGAGGGACATTTTTTCCCATTGTGGATTTCAGGCTAAAACTGTCTTATACTATTGAATGAGGGATGATGCTGTCAAGATAGTTAATGTAATAACTACTGAGTGGTATTTTAATGTGATATGTTTTTATGATAATCCTGTCATAACAAGGGTATCAAGTGTGAGGATCATAGGCACAGAGTGAATTTTCTGAGTTACAGTAATGGCAGAAAGTTAGAAATCACTGTGGCATGGGATAGGGGAAGGTGGAAGGGAGGAGGGGAGCAGCCCGGACGGGGCCTCCCTGGGTTGGCAGACAAGAGCAACTGGTTTCTATTTCAGATTCTGCCTCTAGGTAACTGGGGGGTTTTTAGGCAAGTATTTGGGGTCTCTGCTTCAGGGTGTAAAATGAAGAGTCAGTTTAGTGTAGCATGTAAAATAATGCATTCTCTAGCTTCCTTAAATATAAGAGAAAAACTGCAGAAGGAGATGCTAATTCTTGTATAAGTTGTAGGACAAACCCCTTGCGCTTACAATGGATGCTCTTAGGATTGGCGTTATTTTGCTGTAATCTTCCAGACACCTTTTGATAGGATACAAATATACTTGAGAATGGTGTATTCACATTTCCACATATTAATATTCTTGTATACTCTATTGCATAAGTGGTACCACTCTGTAACCTAGTTCTTTATGTCTGCTAAGTCCTTTTAAATGGCTATAGAATGTACCTGTGCTAACCTTAAGCACAGTAAACATTTAGAGTGTTTCTTTGTTTTTTTTTTAAGATTTTTATTATTTATTTGACAGAGAGACAGACACAGAGAGAGCACAAGCAGGGGGAGCAGCAGAGGGAGAGGGAGAAGCAGGCTCTCCACTGAGCAGGGAGCCCAATGCGGGGCTCGATCCCAGGACTCTGGGATCATGACCTGAGCCGAAGGCAGACGCTTAACGACTGAGCCACCCAGGTGTCCCTAGAGTGTTTCTTGATTTAGAATATTATATGGGCTGCTACAGTAAAAATCCTTTTGTGTATTTGTTGTTGTTCACTTGGTAGTTAACAGCTTTGGAGAGATTTCTGACCGTGGGTTTGGTAGCCAGAGGCTAAGAACATGAAACAGTTTGATGCATTTGCTACATTCTTGGAATGTGTGCTGATTTAGTAACCTTAGAGAGCCCCTTCCCTCCCAGCGTTACCTACAATGGACTTTGTTGACCTTATTTATATTAGCCAAGCTGCCAGATGAAAAAGAAATTTCACTTTATGGGCAATTTTTATTTCTCTGTTAGTGAATTTTAAGAGCCCTTTGTGTAAAAGGGATATGATTGCAGATTCTTTCTCTTCATTAATCATGTTTTAGTTTTGATCTAAGTAGTTTTTCTTTTTTCTTTTTTTTTTTTTTTAAGTAGGCTCCTAGACTCCTGGCCTAGCGTGGAGCCCAACACAGGGCTTGAACTCATGACCCTGAGATCAAGACCTGAGCTGAAATCAAGAGTCGGATGCTTAACCAACCGAGCCACCCAGGCGCCCCAGAGTAGTTTTTATTTCAATAGAGACATTTTGAATAATCACATTTTCTCTTTTGTTTTGAAATTTCAGTCAGGCTTAACCATTCCGAGTCTGATTATAACTTGAAACCTACTCTATTGATTGTAAAAACTAATGCATTGAAAGTGAGTCTGGATTTTAGATACAGCCTGAAGTCATTTTAATGTGGGTGAACTAGCTAGATAACATTTTGGCTTCTACACAGAAGTGTGACTGTGTAAAATTATGAGGTTAATTTTCTTGTTTATTTCTGAATGCAGTTCTAAAAGTAAAGCCCCCAAAATGAAATGTGTGAAACAGGTAGGGTATATAGAATAAAGGATGACAGAATATAGATTGATAATTGATATGTTTACTTTAAAATTTTAAGCTAATTATAGACTCCTTTCATAGACTGTTTTTGAGAACCCAAAATGTTTTCATCAGGCTCCATGGAATATGAGCTCTGAAACTTCCAATACTTAGTTGTCAGACTCTTTCATTCTGTACCATTTAAGGCTTCTGAATTATTTTTTTGAGTTTCACTAAGAGATTATATACTAAAATGAAAATAGGGGCGCCTGGGTGGCTCAGTCGTTAAGCGTCTGCCTTCGGCTTAGGTCATGATCCCAGGACCCTGGGATCGAGCCTCTCATCGGGCTCCTTGCTCAGTGGGAAGCCTGCTTCTCCCTCTGCCTCTTCCCCTGCTTGTGTTCCCTCTCTTGCTGTTTCTCTGTGTCAAATAGATAAATAAAATCTTAAAAAAAAAAAAAATACACTCCTTTCATAGACTGTTTTTGAGAACTCAAAATGTTTTCATCGGGCTCCATGGAGTATGAGCCCTGAGATTTCTAATATTTAGTTGTCAGACTCTTTCGTTCTGTACCGTTTAAGGCTTCTGAATTATTTTTTTTTGGTTTTGCTAAGAGATTAATTGTACACTAAAATGAAAATAGGGGCACCTGGGTGGCTCAGTTGGTTAAGCGTCCTACTCTTGGTTTTGGCTCAGGTCATGATCTCAGGGTGGTGGGATTGGGCCCCGAGTCAGGCTCCACACTTAGCAAGGAGTTTGCTTGAGACTCTCTCCCTCATCCCCTCTGCCCATATATGTGCTCTCTGGTGCATTTTCTCTCTCTCAAATAATTAAAATCTTAAAAAAAAAATGTATGAAAGAATTGCTGAGGTACATTTATAGAGAAAAATTTGTAAATCCTAAAATCTGGTAGATGGGACATGACTTGGGAATTGTGCATGGTAAATAAATCATGTTAAAATAGAATTATAACAATTATGTTTTATAAAGATTAACTTGGGCAGGCCTACTGCAGCATTCATTTTGGAAGGATGCCTTCACTAGGAAAGATCAGGAATCAAGCACTGAGGATTCCAACGTCAGGTAGTATATAAGCTTATCTTTGTGTGGGGGGCATGGTTATTAAATGATCATACTGATTACTGTTCTATCAATGCAGCATCAATGACATGAATTTCTCTGCTGACTAGGAGAAAATCAAACATTTCTTTAAGCGTTGCTTAAAGAGTTTAGTCATGACATTCTGTGTTCTCAAATTTGCTTTTTCTGATCAGTTGTTTATTCTCCAGTGATTTACTATGCTAGTCATTAGCTCTGGCCATCCAATGTAACTCACTTTCCACCTTGTACGCACATGGTAGGATCTCATTTCCCCGTTTTGAGTTAGATGTGGTTATGTGACTTGCTTTGGCTAATGAAATGTGAGCAGAAGTGACGTGTGTTCATTCTGCATGGAAACCTCACAAGCCAGTGTGAGATTGGACACATTTCTTCCCCCTGATGGGGTAACTAGGTTGGAAATGTCCAAATAGGGTTGCTGTCAGGCCGAGTCTTCCGTGACAATGATGAGTGTAGCTTCCCTGCAATGGCTGTGTGCATGAGTGAGACAAAGTGATGAGATTCAAGCCACTGGCATTGGTGGGTTGTATGTTACCACAGCATAACCTAGCTCCTGTCTGATCCTGACTAATACACCTCATTTTTGTTATAAAATCTTCTTAGCCCAGGACACTTACACACGTGATGGTATAAAGAACCAGCTGAGAAGTTGTCAAATAAAGTTCTGCTAATTAGGCTTTGCTCCCCCTCCACTTATTCAGTGGTGAATGGTTGTCTGATCCTTGATTTTCACCTTGGCAAATTCAGTGTATTGGATAAGAGAAGCCTGAGTTTTATTTAAGGTCTCCCCAAACTTGGGTTTCTCTGATCCAGTGAGATTCAATCCTGTTCTCCCCATTGTGTTAGGGTCTGTAGGGACTACAGAAAGTGGGACCCTGGTCCTGGTCCTCTAGCATCAGCAAGTCACAGAACACCTCTGCCCTTAGTTTGTCATCTTCCCTCTTAAATCTCTATGCCTTTGATTTTGTTTCTTGCCTTATTGCCCCCTTGCTAAGCCTTTTTCAGTAAGATGTTGAACAGGAGTGATGAAAGTGAGTATCTTTGCCTAGTTTCTATCTCTGGGGTGAAAGCCTTCAGCCTTTCACCATTAAGTACAATGAGCTGGAGGTTTGTGTAGTTGCTCTTTGTAGTTTGAATGAACGTTCAATTTTGTCAAATGCCTTTTTCTATCAGTTGATAAGATCATATGGGTTTTCTTCTTTAGGCTCTGATTATGGACTCTTACATAAATTGGTTTTCAAATATTGAGCCAGCCGTGCAATCCTACAGTAAACCCCACTTAGTCATGCTATTTTAGAATTTTTATGTCTTGCTGCAGGTGTTTGGGGCCAAGTGGCAGGAGGACAGCGAGATAGGAGAAAAAAAGAACAGAGCAACAGGGATTTGCCTCATGTTCTTGAGATCATAGCTGTGTGATTAAAGGAGGTGCCCCTCTCTGTTGTAGGCACTGGCTAGAAGCTGCTGTTTCCCCAGCTAGCTGCTGCAGGATTACCCGGAGGCTGGAACAGAATAAAATGGAAAAAGAAACAAAACAGAATAAAAAACCAAAACAAACCAGGGAATTTCCCCTGCTCTGACCCTTAGAGGTCCCCTGTCCTGTTCCTTAGAACAGAAATAGGAAGCTTATCTTGGGGGTTCCTTTTGTCTGTACTCATTGCCTTTGAGTCCAGGCCAGGCAATACTGGAAGGGGAAAAATAAATGGGAAACTCACTGTGGGTTTATTGGTACTTTGAGTTCTGGTTTCCTTCCCCAATCTGAATGCTGCTATTTATTTCTCAGGGATAAGGTTTATAGACCCCGTACAATGCCTTTGGTATAGTGAGTGCTCATTTTAGCTACTCAGTGACCATACTTTCCAACTCTACGGCTTTGCCAAATGTTACCTGTAAGTTTCCCACCTCTTGTTCTACACAGAAAATGATGGAAAGCTCAAAAGTAAGTTTGATTGTGTTGGCTTTCTCCTGTTGAACAGCAGGAAAGTGATGGAGCATTCTGGGACACAAGATTCCAAGGAGTTTTTGAAGCCTCCGAGCGGACAAGCCAAGGGGGAGAAGAGTGGTCACCGACTAAGTCACTCTTTCAGGCTAGGTGAGCTCTCACTGGAGCACGTTCATGCCGCTTACGATGCTGTTTCTGAGAGTTTCTAGTTTTTGTTACCGCTCTTAAAATTTTTGTCTGCATCCTGCTCTTCTCATGGTATTTTTGGTCCTTTATGGATAATGTTTTTCTTTCCTGCCACAGAGAATCCAACTGAGTTGCGGCCTAAAAGTACTGTTGGGGGTCAACCGAATGAGTCCATGTTTCTTCTCAGGTAGGTATGTTGACAGAGCAGGAGGGAATCCATGGGAGATGACAGGGTCTTCCCGAAGCATCTGTTGTCCTGGTGGCAAACCGTGTTACACAGAGCTAAAGGACAGGGATGTGAATGCCAAATTCCAGTTTCACTCTCTGCTTTCAAAGTTAATGTTAAGTGCTGGCCAATGGAATGTTGACTTGGCTGTGCATTTTTTTTGTGTGTGTGCATTTTTAAAAGTTTTTAACTGAACCACCTATTCATAAGGGTTGAAACCTCTTCATTTTGTACTTTCCCTTCAAATAGAATTAAATTTGAAATTTTAGCAGGCCAGCTTCTTCATTGGATAAAGGCCCACAGGAAAGAACAGGTGTTTTTTGTTAAGCATTGTTTTATATGGAGGCCTCAATAATGTTTACTTAATAATGTAATCATCAAAACAATTAAAAAATCAGAAGGGTATTTTAATGTGATTAAGACCAATGTATTTAAAATTTTAGTAATATGTGTTAAGTGTTACATTTTATTTATAGCTTTAGTCTTAGACACAAATAGTTTTATTTTAATGACATAGGGGTTGTAACAATAAACTAAAGTTTCCTGACTTGTTTTACTCTATTTAAATATAAAATATGTTAACTTTATCTATATACATTCTAGGCATTTTAAATACAGTTTTTAAAAACTTTGATCTTTGGCATATTTTGTGAGTTAAATAAGAACTTGTTCAAGGAATGAATAAACAGATAAGTGAAAGAGAGGTGAGAATCTTGATACTTGGGAATTTGAAGGAATTCATTGTAAAAGACCCTAATGATCTGAATGGAAAAATTTGTTAAAATGTGAAAAACTCAGAGACCCAGGAGTAATGGAGTGACCCACAGAGTATGACAACCAATTTTAAGGGTAGGAGGGATCATTAAAAATAGGTGCAGATTATAACTTGTTTCTTAATCGGTACCAAGATCATTTCCCATTTCAAACATATTCTGAAATTGTAAATATTTTCCATCCTTTATAGAGTCCGATCTGTTTTATTATTTATTATTATACCAGCAGACATTTAAAAAATAATAAAACCAATGTTTTAAGATTTTTAGTTAAAATAGAAACTACTGTATATAACATAGGTGCTATAAATAAAAGAAATAATAAATTAACCAGGAAATTGCTTTGACATTTACAAAAAAAGTGTTGGATAATCCCAAATTAGGGTTTAAATATATGAGATCACCAAGAATCTTGATTATTCTGTTTTTTTCATGAGATATGTTTTTTTTTCCCCTCCAGATAATAGTAAACCTTAAATAGTAACCTTAAAGTTTCTAAAATGTGAGTAATGTTGACTGGTCTGTATTTTCCAGTTCTCGTCCAACTCCAAGAACAAGCACTGCAGTGGGATTAAGTCCTGGTGAGGATAGAACTCAGCATTCACCCCAGAAGACTTCTCCTTTAATCAAGGTGAACAGAGGGGGACTTTTTCTTTTTGTTTTTTTTTCACATATGATATAGAGACTCAGAAGAATAATTGCCAAGTTCATCTCTGAACTATGATTGAAATGACGAAATTTACAATTAAGTCGTCATCTTTGATCACTGGTTTTTCTGGTAAGTACCCTTAAGAGGGAGCTGGTTCATAGTTATTTCTTTGATAACAGCTTTCCTGAGATATGATTGACATCCCATGTAATTCACTCAGTTGGAGCGTACAATTCAGGGGCTTTGAGCATATTCACGGAGTCATGCAGCCATCACCATAGTCAGCTTGAGAACACCTCATCATCCCACAAAGAAACCGCACACCTATTAGCAGTCACTCCCATCTTCCCTCAATTTCTCTCTCCTCTGACCCTAGGCAACTACTCATTTTTGTCTTTATACATTTGTCTATTCTGGACATTGCATGTAAATGAAATATGTGTTCTTTTGTGACTGGCTTTTTTCACCTAACCTAATGTTTTTAAGATTCATCCAAATTATAGCATGTATCAGTCCTATGTTCCTTTTTAGTGCCAAAAAATAATTTGTTGTATATACCACATTGTATGTTTCCATTCATCAGTTGGTGGACATGTGGGTCATTTCCACCTTGTGGCTCTTGTGAATTGTGCTGCTGTGAAGGTTCGTATGCATGGTTTTGAGTGGGCATGTGTTTAATTTCTCCTTGTACCTGTAGGAGTATAATTGCGGCATTGTGTGGTAACTCCGTGTTCCAAGACTGCTGTGCCATTTTACATTGTCCCCCAGCAGTGGGTGAGAATTCCAGTGTTTACCCATCCCTAACAAAACTTGTTACTGTCCATTTGTTTTCTAATTGTGGTAAAATAGGCATTACGTAAAATTTACCATTTCACTATTTTTAAGTGGACAGTTCTGTGGCATTCCCATTTTTGTGCAACCATTCCCACCATCCATCTCCAGAACTTTTTCATATCCCAAACTGAGACTGTGTACGCACTAAGCAATAGCTCCCCATCTCCCTTTCCTCCCAGTCCTGGCAGCCACGATTCTACTTTCTGCCTCTGGGAATTTGCCTAGTCATCTCCTACAAGTGGAACTATATAATATTTGCCCTTTTGTGTCTGGCTTATTACACTCAGCGTAATATCTTCAAGGTCCATCCATGTTGTGGCATGTGTCAGAATTTCATTCCTTTTTAAAGCTGACTAATAGTCCATTGTGTGTATAAACCATGTTTTGTTTACCTGTTCATCCATCTTTGGACACTTTGGTTGCTTTAGCCTTTGGGCTACTGTGAATCATGCTGCATGGTAGCAATACTGGGGTGTATGAAATTACATCTAGCTTTGATTTGCATTTCTGATGGCTAATTAGGTTGAGTATCTTTTCATATGCTTATGGACCATATGTATATCTCCTTTGGAAGAATTCAAATCTTTACCCATTTGAGTTGTAGGAATTCTTTATATATTCTGGGTATGTGACTTGGTGGTAGTGTCCTTTGAAGCACAGACATTTTAAATTTTGATGTAGTTCAAATTATCTTTTTGTGTGCGTGTTTGTTGTTGCTTATGCTTTTGGTGTCATAATTTAGAAGCCATTGGCTACTTCAAGGTTACAAAGGTTTATGCCTATGCTTAGCTCTTACCTTTAGCTCTTTAATTCATTTGAGTTAATTTTTGTATATGGCATGAGGCGGGGGTCCAGCTTCATTGTTTTGCATGTGGATTTCCATTTGTCTCAGCACCATTTGTTGAAAAGACTGTTCTTTCCCCAGTTAATTATCTTGGCATTCTTGTTGACTATGAATTGACCATAAAGCCAAGGTTTATTTCTGGACCCTTTAGTCTGTTGATCTGTGCATCCTTCTCATGCTGGTAGTACAGTAACTGGTTAGCTATTTTTTTTTTTTTTTTAAGAGAGCGAGCACAAGGGTGAGGGAGGGAGGAGGGGGAATGGAGAGGGAGAGGGAGAATCCCATGCAGGCTTCATGCCCAACACAGAGCTCAGTGCAGGGCTCAATCTCATGACCCTGAGATCATGACATGAGCTGAAGTCAAGAGTTGGACACTCAACTGACGGAGCTACACAGGTGCCCCAATTTTTTTTCTTTCTTTTTTTTTTTTTTAAGTAGACTCCATGCCCAGCGTGGAGCCCAATGCAGGGCTTGAACTCATGACCCGGAGATCAAGACCTGAGCTGAGATTGAGTTGGATGCTTAACTGACTGTGCCACCCAGGTGCCCCTAGCTAGCTATTCTTGATCACCATAGCTTTTTAGTAAGTTTTGAAGTTAGGAGGTATGATTCTTCCAACTTTGTTCTTTTTCAAGGTTTTTTTGGCTATTCTGGGTCCCTTGCATTTCCATGTGAATTTTAGAATCAGTTTGCACTTTGCATGTTTCTGTAAAGAAGCCAGCTGGGATTGTGATAGCAGTGACATTGAATTTGGGGAGTATTGCCATTTTAACAATGTAAAGTTTTCCTGCATGAATGTGGAATGTCTATTTGTTTAGGTCTTTAGTTTTGTTCAGTTTTTTTTTTTAATTTTTTTTTTAATGTGATGTTAATCACCATACATTACATTATTAGTTTTTGATGTAGTGTTCCATGATTCATTGTTTGCATATAACACCCAGTGCTCCATGCAGTACATGCCCTCTTTAATACCCATCACCAGGCTAACCCATCCCCCCACCTCCCTCCCCTCTAGAACCCTCAGTTTGTTTTTCAGAGTCCATCGTCTCTTGTGGTTCATCTCCCCCTCCGATTTCCCCCCCTTCATTTTTCACTTCCTGCTATCTTCTTCTTCCTCTTTTTTTTTTTTTTTTTTAAACATATAATGTATTATTTGTTTCAGAGGTACTGGTCTGTGATTCAACAGTCTTACACAATTCACAGTGCTCACTGTAGCACATACCCTCCCCAATGTCTATCACCCTGCAGAGATATTTTGAATTAAAGTTTTCTGAAATTATTGTATTTAGTGCTTGAGAGATATACTTTCAGTTGTTATTGTAATTTTTATGTAATGTAAAATGCATTTGGACTGCATGAAACTTATTTCTGCATTGAAATGAAATATAAATGCATTATAATCTCATTCTGCCAATAATTATTTAGTTATATGTGAGATAGAAAATCAGTGTAAAAGTAAAAAATGCATTCTGAAATAAATGTTGAATCTCTTCTGACACATGGTTATTGTAGAGAAGTGCACTTCGTCATTTTATTGAGAATATTCAAGCAGTAATTATGTAAGTACTATATGAGGGTTTATCTTTTATAATTTTTTAAGTGATACTTTTAGATTCAATTACAAACTTTTTATAATACCTCTAGAAAACTTGGGGCACCTGGGTGGCTCAGTCGGTTAAGCGTCTGCTTTTGACTCAGGTTATGATCCCCAGGTTCTGGGATGGAACCCCACATTGGGCTCCCTGCTCAGTGCGGAGCCTGCTTCTCCCTCTCCCTCTGCAGCTCTCCCTCCTTGTGCTGTCTCTCTCTCAAATAAAATCTTTAAAAAAAAATAATTGTAGAAAACTTAGAAACTGTACAAGAGGACAAAACCCCCCCCCCAAAAAACAAAAAAAACCCCCAAAACAAAACCTACTTGTAATTTAATTACCCAGAGGAACTACTGCTTATATTTTGACATTTCTTCCTTTGGTTCTATACATATGTGTTCATTTTCAAACAAGGAAACATAATTTTTTAACTTAATTTTTTTTTCATTTAGTAGACTGTAGTGTTTGATCATTTAGTTTATTCCTGAGCATTATATTTTATTTTTTGCTATCATGAGTAGGTTTTTCTTTTTTATAGAGAGAGTGTGAATAGGGGGTGGGGAGGGACAGAAGGAGAGGGAGAATCTTGAGCAGGCTCTACACCCAGTGCAGAGCCTGATGCAGGTCTCGATCTAACGGCCCTGAGATCATGACCTGAGCTGAAATCAGGAGTTGGATGCTTACCAGCATGGATGGAGGGGAGGCAGAACTACCCAGAAATCCTTGGTATTTCCTTTTTGTAATCTGTTATCTGTGCATACATTTTGTTTATATAATATAGGAAATTAATTTTTACATATAAATTTCTAATTGGTCTGCCTAATTCTTATAAGAATATACTATATTAGAATATAAGTCATTCATTATGGCCTTTCTTTGAAGTCTTTCTGTTTTGAAAGTCCATGCCTTTAAGCATTAAAATTTTTGTTTTCCAAAGTTGTTCCATACTTACTCTTCGTGTATTTTTTTTTATATGTCTGTTTTCTAAATTGCAAAGGGGTGGTCTTGGTTTCTGGGAACTTTGTTAGCTAATTATTCTATTCCTTTTTTCATGCCCCTGCCTCAGTTTTGGATAATTTCCTCATTTTTCACTTCACTGATTTGGTTTTCTGTCTTGTTCAGTTTGCTGTTCAGTGTTTCAGTGGAAATTCTTAATGCATAAATCCTCTTATTTTGTCTGATGTGAAGTCCTAAGACCTAGCACTAGGAATGAGAGTTCTGTTTACTGTTTGAGCACAAAGAAACCTCTCAAAGGAACTGATGGCAAATATCTGGTTACTCATTTTCATTATGTGTTAACTCTACTTCAGCTTTTATAAAGATAGAGGGTTTTAACACTTAGGTAACAGGTCCCAACTTGACCCTGAAATTCTTTTATGCTGTAATTTTTAACTTCATACTGAATATTCTATAAAGCAGAATAAAGTGATGAGTGTTCAGTGGATGAATGAATAAAACCATGCTGGTGATTGAAAAACCAGTTTGCCTCGTCATAGCTTAGAACATTAGAGTATAGAAGATCTGTTTTCTGGTCCTAACCAACCTTTGTGGTAAACACAAACAAGTCCGTTACTTTGTCTGAGCTTTGTATTTTCCTTCTGTAAAAAAAAAAAAAAAAAAAAAAAAAGGCGGGGGGGGGGGAATGATGATACAGAGGTACAGAGGACTGAGGATCAAAGAAGACTGTGAAAATGTTTTGATTAGCAAAGTGAGGTGTGCTGATCTAGGTGACCCTTCCAGTGGTGTCTTACTCAGCATCTTAAGAGCTCAGTTTTTAAAAGCTCTTCACTAGTCACAGAATCAAAGCCTCATTTTTGTTCTTATTTCAGAATACAAGTGAATGCCTGAGTCAGCGGGACCTGGAATCCCAGATGAGAGAGCTTATCTACATGGACTCTGATCTTGTTGTCACCCCGATTATCGACAACCCAAAGGTGTGGAAACGTGCTGTAACAGCTGAGGGCTGAGCTTTAGACTTTCCTGGCAGCTGGAATTCTGGTGATACTGTCATTGCAAATATTCTTTGCCGTATTTTCTTTGCCTTTCCTCATGTCCGCTTTTATGTCCCTTGTGCCATGTGTCTACATTTCTAATGCCCGCCCTGCCTGTAACCCTCTTCTCTTCCTGCATTGTTTTCAGCTTCACTGAGTGGTGAGTTTCTTCCTCTTCTGCATCAGCTCTGCCTCCCCTCCATCCATGGGCTTCTAGGCCTCAGACCTTCGTCCTCAGTCCCTTCGTTTCTCCATATATACTTGGGTGAATTTCTCCAAACACTCTAGTTGTGGATGTGTTAGGAAAGCAGATATGGGTGAGCACTGCTCCCCCGACTGGGGTGGGTGGGCAGGGCACACGGAGACCACGCCCTCTCACAGGTGCTCAGGACCCCAGGGCAGATGGTGGGGAGACACTGGGAGCTTGAGGAGTCCTGGTTCACAGTGCACTTCATACCCAGTGTGATTTTTGCTGCTTCATGATGCTTGGAATGTAGTGCTATATTACTAGCGGAGGATGAGTATTCTGCTTAAGAAAAGAAAAATTAATTTCTCAGGCCCTCTGTACTACCTATTCTGTATTTTAATTTTTAAATGTCTTTTTCTCTTTTTAATTTATGGCCATTTTCTCTCCTCCTTGGGGAACATTACTGTAATTTAGAACAAATGGATTTTTGGATGCGTATTTATTAGGTAGACAAGATTTAATATAGATTACCCAACAATTTTTCATAATGGAGCTAATTCTTTTCATGAGTTCAGATATCTGGCAGAGTAATTATGTATCATGCCAAATTTAACGTAATGGGTCATTTTCCCAGTGGACCTTCTAAGAAGAGTTTGTAATATCTTTTGACCATATTTTTTCTGTTTCTTTATTTCTATTATAACCATACTTAATTGTTTTGGGGAAGCCTTAGTAGAAATTTTCTAACTTCTAATTTTAGACATACAGAAAAGGTTCAAATATAGTAGAGTTCCTGTATAGTTTTTACCCTGCTTTTCCTAATGTTATAATCTTATAGCACCGTAGAATGGTTAACAAAGCCAGGGAATTAACATTGGTACAGTGCTATTAACTAAATTCCCAAATTTATTGAATTTTACCAGTTGTACCACTGATGTCCTTTTTCTCTTCTAGAGTCTCTTGTTAACAGTTTGCTGTTATGCCTTCTTTTCCTCCTACTTCCTGTCCTTGTGTTTCATGGCCTTGTGGTTATTTCTTGGCTTTCCTGACCTTGGCTTTCATGACCTTGACGTTTTGAAGAGTACTGGTCAGGCATTTTGTAGACTGTCACTCAAGATGGGTTTGTCTAAGTGTTTCTTATGATTAGTATGTATGAGGTTATGCTTTTTTGGCAAGAATACTACCAGCAAAGCTTTTTAAAATTCTCTGTAGTGAAGTTTTGGAGGATTTAGACATAGAGATGATGGTTGAATTTTTAATTAAAAGTCTCAGGATGAAAGTACCCTTTGTTGTTCCAAACTTATGGGTCAAACTACCTGTTTTTTCCCCTTTCTTAAGAAAACCAATTGTGTGCTTTCCTATTCATGCTGTTTACAGCTTCCTGCAATGGTGTGTTCTCTAAATCAACCACGAAGTCCTTGCCATTCTTTAAAACCTCAGCCTCCCTCCAGCTCTTCCATAAACCTTGTCAGCCTAGAGTGCTTTCCGCATTCTCTAATATTTTAGAAAATTTTCTTTCTGTGGAATGTTCCAACTATAATTATGTCCTGCCCATTTTGCATTGTTCAATATTGTATTTTTTTTTTGTTTAACAGGTTTTATCTTCCCAACCAGAGTATCAGCTCTCTGACCATAGGATTGTGTCTTTTAAGATTTTTTTTTAAATTTATTTATTTGAGAGAGAGAATGAGAGAGAGCACATGAGAGGGGGGAGGGTCAGAGGGAGAAGCAGACCCCCTGCTGAGCAAGGAGCCCGATGTGGGACTTGATCCCGGGACTCCAGGATCATGACCTGAGCCGAAGGCAGTCGCTTAACCAGCTGAGCCACCCAGGCGCCCGGATTGTGTCTTTTATATCTTGGTTATCCCCCTTAGCACTTAGCATACTGCCTCACCCTCTCAGGTACCCAATAAGTATTTGTTGATATGACTAAATTTCTAACCTAGAGGTTGATTAGCTTAAGAAGATATCCTTTTAAGGATATCCTTACCAGGATAAAGTGCTTCTTTTTTAATGAAGCTTTAGTTTATTGCAGATATCAATTGAAGTGATATTTTAAAAATTTTATGTATTTCAAGTAAACTCTACCCTCAACATGGGGTTTGAACTCACGACCCCAGAGATCAAGTGTCACATGTTCTACTGACTGAGCCAGCCAGGTGCCCTGAAATGATTTTATTTTTATAAATTATTATCTGTGTGTGTATATTTTAAACTGAAGGGCAATGTTGAATTCTTTTTCTTTTTAGTGACAAATTTTCAGTGATTTTTTTTTTTTTTTTATTCTGCCCTAATTGATTTATAATCTGGTACTGGGCGATATATTAGGAGACAGCTGTCTCAAAAGGCGTCTTAGAAGTTTTTTTGTTTTTTCTACCACAGATAATGAAACAACCACCAATTAAATTTGATCCGAAGATACTGCACCTACCGGCACATTCAGGTAGGATTATAGCGGCCTTGTCAAACACATGGACTCTTAGAAGATAGATATAAATCTGAAATTTAATAGCAAATGGAATATCTTATTTATTGAATAGCTAAGTTCCTGTGTTCTTGCCACCTGGCTATATTCTTGGGGCAGAGCTGTGTATGTCATAAACCTGTAGTCCATTCATGCGAGTGTTTCACCTTACTCAGCTGAGTCTGGGCTGCCCTGGACTCTTGGGGGAGTGAAAGTTCCTGTAAAGCTGGGTGGGCCCTTCTCTTGCCCTTGCCCCTTGTGGAGTCCATTGAATTTCCAACACTTATGGTGCTCTTGTGGGTACAGAGGGGTGGAGACCATAATGAAGAATTGAGATTCTGCTTCAGAGAGTGGGACAGTTGACAACAGGGGTCAGATGGTTCACTTTTGTGGGAATGGAGATACTTATGGTATCTCATGATGTGGGAATGGAGATACTTAAGTTACTTGAAGGATGATTGTTATGTTTCCTTTCACCTAATGGGAAGTCTTAATTGGGATGAATATCAGAAATTGCTTTATACCTTAAATTTTGATGTATTTTGTTTGATAAAATATATTTGCAGCTATTAAGCTAGATCCAGAAAAAACTTGTTGTCATAGCTAGAGTATAATCTATAATTTAAAAGCAAATCAAAGTAAATTAAAAATAAAATATATTCAAATTTAAATAAACTGTGCCAAGTAGAACCACTGTTCATGAAAACCTTAGAGGAGTATTTCAAAATAATATTCCTTCCCTTTCTCCCTTTATGCTGAATTATTTTAAGAAATTATTATTACAGCTTATTTTGTTTAAAGATAGAAATTAACTGAAACTATGTTAGTTTTAGATGGCATCTCATTGCCCAGTTTTTGTTTTCTGTTTGTGGAGGGTTTGGACTTGGATTTTCCAGAGGACTATTCACCTGTTATGCTTAATAATTTCATTGGAACCTTTTAACAACTGTACAATTCTTGGCTTTTCTGACATTTTAAGGCTAGATTGCTTTATTTATACAAAGGGTATTTTGCTTTTTTGTAATACAGTTTAGCTTTGTATTTTGTTAGATTCTAGGTTGCAGGATGATTCTCCTGTAGTCATCTGTTATGCATAGTTTTCCATTCACATAGTGAAAAAGTCTCCATGGGTAGAAAAAGAGGAATCTAGAAGAATAAATAAAAGTAGTGTCATCTTTGGAGGACTTTTTGGTTTTGACATTGTAAAGTTGGGACTTTCTTAGTCCTCATCTTATTTATTGAAATTCTATGTTCCATTTATTTCTCTTGTAATGTTTTCAGCATTTTTTTTTTTTTTTACATGACACCCACTTTTAACATTTTCTTTCCTCTCCAGTGGATAAGTTAGTATTTCTAAAAGACCAAGAGTGGAATGACTTTTTGCAGCAAGTGTGCTCACAGATTGACTCCACTGAGAAGAGCATGGGGGCCTCCCGAGCCAAGCTCAATCTCCTTTGCTATCTGTGTGTTGTGGCTGGACACCAGGACGTGGCCACCCGGCTCCTCCATTCCCCGCTGGTATGTAGTTTGGTTGTAAAGACTCCTTTCCTGGTCCTTGCAGTGTGCCTTTTGCATGAAACTTTTGTATTTCTGTTGAGATTAAAATGTTAGTGCTAAAATATTAATTTGATCTAATTACAGTGGAAAAAAATGATTTATCAAGATTATAGGTTTGCCGAAATTATTGTTTAATCCTCACGTCTGAAAGCAGTTGAATAGACAGTAATCATGAACTTTTTTTGTTGTCTCCTAGTGCAGGATTCACATTTCCATTGTCTACAGGTCAGATGTGTTAGTCACTTTCTGTGTCATTTCATGAATGAAATGTACATCTTATTTTTTTTAATTCTAGTTCCAGTTGCTAATCCAGCATTTGCGAATAGCTCCAAACTGGGATATGTAAGTATCATTTATATTTTAATAAATTATTCATTAATAGTTACAACATATTTATCAAAAGCACTTAGGTCCAAATTCTTATATACTAAAGTAATAGAATCGTAGGCAATCATAGGCATCCCAACTGCAAATTTAAAAAGATTTCAAAATAGGCCTTAAACTATTATAAATATAATTCTAGGAATATATAAACTACATCTGGACACTTTGTTACTGTTCCTCTTTTGAGTATTTTTTTTTTTTTTTAAGATTTTATTTATTTATTTGACAGAGACACAGCGAGAGAGGGAACACAAGCAGGGGGAGTGGGAGAGAGAGAAGCAGGCTTCCCGCCAAGCAGGGAGCCCGATGCAGGGCTCGATCCCAGGACCTTGGGATCATGACCTGAGCTGAAGGCAGACGCTTAATGACTGAGCCACCCAGGCGCCCCCTCTTTTGAGTATTCTTTATTAAACACTTGATCCCTGTGTTTTGGTTTTGCTTCCGGCAGAGTTTTCCCTTGTGACTCTATCTTTCCCTTACGTGATGCATGACTTCCTCATGATGTTACTTAAAATCTAATGGGATTATCCTCTGTAAGCTCCTGATGGAAGGATGTATATTTGCTTATTTTGCAGGCAGTATACCATGGTGGAAAAACACATTAGATAAAGGTTAGAAGGCTCTGGGCTCTGGTGGCCAGTGAGACCAGGCCGGATGATTACCTCTTTCTGAGTCTCAGCTCCATGGTGGGAGAGGAGGGTCTGTGTGGGGCAATGGAATTGAATGGGCTTCGGATACAGACAGACCTGGGTGTGAATCACAGATCTGCCTTCTGGGCAAATTGCCTTAAGTGCTGAGCCTCATTTTCCTCAACTGTAAAATGGGGATAGTGTATCTACCTCGTAGATGTTAATAGTTAAACTTTGAATGCGATAAGTACATGAGCTACTTTGCATGGTGCCTGATTCTTCCTGGGTGGGTGGTAGATGTTGGAGCATGGAGGTTGCAGTGGTTGTGCTTGGTATTCTTAAGCCTGCTTATCTTGTATTCTCGTTAGAGAAGCACACAAAAACATAAAGGTGAAGGGGTTTTGTGAAATGTGCTAATAGCAATTATTCTTCCATGTTGGTGAAATTTGGGGGAAACGAGGTATTCACAAAATGCTTTTTTTTTTTTGCATAATTTTTGTTATGCATCTTCTAAGGTTACTTCCCCAAGGTAAAAATTGCCATTGCAAGTAGGATTTTTAGGTGATTTTTGAGTATGTAAAACTTTGAGAGGGTTTGTGGTATGCTCACTAAAAAGAAACCAACAAAACCGACACTTCAGCTAAAACTTATATCCTTGAATGGGGTGCCCCCTGCTGACTTGTAAAAATAGACATTTTTTTTTTTATCCTTTCCAAGTACTGTTTCCCCCCCCCCCATCTTTTAGATTGAAGCTTCATTATAAAACAGCTTGTGTTTGAGGAAAATGATAAATAATAAGGTACACAAATCCTCTCCTTGGAACCTTCTTTTATTGTCTTCCTCCATTCAAACACCAGTTCTCCCAGTGGGGCCTTCTCTGACCCAGGTCAAATCCCCTTAACAGCATATAGGGGTCCTCAACTTAGCTGGGGGATAACCACTGTTGAAGTAGATGTGTTTATTTCTTGGCTTTGTTCAGCATATAGAAAAACAAAATAGAATAACGTGATAGAATGTTTTGTTTCTCCAAACTGAGGGTTGCTGGAGGGGAGAGAGGTGGGGGAGTGGGGTAACTGGATGATGAGCTTTAAGGAGGGCACATGATGAAATGAGCACTGGGTGTTATATAAGACTGATGAATCACTGCTCTCTACTCTGAAACTAATAATACATTATATGTTAATTGAATTTAAATAAAATTAAAAAATGTTTTGTTTCTTCTTATAACATATGTTACGTAATTTTTTTGAGAGCGGGAGAGGGAGAGAGAGAATCTTAAGCAGGTGCCACGCTCAGCACAACCCTGAGATCATGACCTGAGCCGAAATCAAGAGTCGGACACTTAACCGACTGAGCCACCCAGGCACCCATATGTTATGTATTTTTTAATGTCATCAACTATTTGTCTAGGACTTTTTTCAAGGTATGCCTTTTCTTCTATGCTAGGAATGCCTGATCATTTAATTTACCCTGTTCCCTATTTTTGGATAATATTATAACATTGTAAATAGTATGTCGATGAACATTTTTGTGTTTAAATCTTGGTGCCTGTTTGTTTTTCCTTTTTTCCCCTTAGGGCAGATTTATAGAATTAGAACAAATGAGTACAAGGCAATAAATAGTTCTGCTACTTCTGATAAATTGCTTAAACATTCTTTAGAAACATTGTACTGATATGTATACCCAGTTGATGTGTATAAAAATGCCCTTTTGTTAGAACTTTCAACAGTGGATGTTTATAGAGTTTTGTATCCTTTGCCAGTCAACTTTATTGTGGTATATAATCCACATATAATAATGCATAATATTTTAAAAACCTGTATTAACTGTATTTGGGAATATACATCATATGAAATTGACCATTTTAGTAACTATACAATTCAGTGGTTTCTGTACAACCATCATCACTATCAATTTCCAGAACTTTTTCATCATCCTAAACTGAAGCCATTACCCATTAAACTTTAGCTTCCTATTCCCCTTTTCCCAGTCCTGGTAAACTTTTATTCTACTTTTTGTTTCTATAAATTTGCTTATTCTATACCTAATATAATTGGATTGTACAACATTTATCTTTTTGCAGCTGGCTTAATTCACTTAGCTTAACATTTTCAGAGTTCAGCCATGTTGTAGCATGTATCAGAAGGTCCTCCCTTTCTAAGGTTGATTAACATCCCCTAGATGTATATGCCACATTTTATCTTTTTACCTGTTGGATACTTAGGTTGGTTCTACCTTTGGTTATTGCAGATAATACTGCTATGAACATTGGTATACAAATATCTCTTTGAGTCTGTGCTGTCAGTTATTTTGGGTATATTGAATTTATTGTTGGGTTATTTGGTAATTCTATCTTTTCATTTCTCGAGGGGACATCATACTGTTTTCCACATCGCTATACTATTTTACATTCCCTCTAGCAGTGTACAAGGGTTCCGATTTCTCCACATCCTCTTCATCATCATCATTTTTTTTTTTTAAATAGTAGCTATCCTGATGGGTGTGAAGCTGTAAGTCATTGTGGTTTTGATTTGCATTTCACTGATGACTAGTAATGTTGAGCATCTTTTCATGTATTTACTGGCCATCTGTTTATCTCCTTTGGAGAAATGTCCGTTCATGTTCTTTGGCTCTTTTCTAATTGGGTTGTTTTATGTTGTTGATTTGTAAGAGTTCTTCATATCTTCTGGGTATTAACCCCTTGTCAGATTATGTGACTTGCAAATATTTTCTCCCATTCTGTGGGTTGCCTTTTCACTCTTGGTAGTGTCCTTTGAAACTCACATTTTCCACTTTTTCTTCTGTTGCCTGTGCTTTTAATGTCCTATGCAAGAATTCGTTGCCAAATTCAATGTCTTAAAGCTTTTCATCTCTTCTAAGAGTTTTACAGTTTTAGCTTTTTTTTTTTTTTTAATTTATTTTTTGACAGAGAGAGAGAGACAGCGAGAGAGGGAACACAAGCAGGGGGAGTGGGAGAGGGAGAAGCAGGCTTCCCGCAGAGCAGGGAGCCCGATGTGGGACTCGATCCCAGGACCCTGGGATCATGACCTGAGCCGAAGGCAGACGCTAAACGGCTGAGCCACCCAGGCGCCCCTACAGTTTTAGCTTTTATATTTAGGTCTTTGATCCATTTTGAGTTAATTTTTGTATATGGTGTTAGGTAAGGGTTTGACTTCATTCTTTTGCATGTGCATATCCAGTTTTCCTAGCACCATTTGTTGAAAAGGCGTCCTTTCCCCATTGAATGGCACCCTCGTTGATAATCTTTTGACCAGATATGTGAGGGTTTATTTAGTCTAAATATCAGTCTTCATGCCAGTCCCACAGTGTCTTGATTACCACAGCTTTGTAATAGTTAAGTTTTGCAGTCAGAAAGTGTGAGACCTCCAACTTTTTTCTCTTTTTCAAGATTGTTGCTTAGTTGGGGTCCCTTGGGAGTCATATAAAGTTTAGGAAGGATTTTCTGATTTTTGGTATAAGTTTGACAGTTGAATAAGGTAAAGTAAATGTTCATCATCAGTTTTTTAAATACAGTTTCTTTATTTGTGAGTTTTTTGCTCTGTTTCACCTCTTAGTTGATTGGATTTCATTTTTTTCAGTAGTTTTTCTTTTTTTTTTCCCTTTTCTTTTTTTCTTTTTTTCTTAAAGATCTCTGAGTCTCTGCTTCTCTAGTTGTTACCTTCTCAAGACTTTCTCTCTGGTTTTAGGGTTTAGGCTTAGGGGGCTGACTGAGACCTTCTTTTGCCCTTGGGCTCGCTCACCCCTGTGCCATGCTTTGGAGTTTGCTCTCTCTGTTTGCACAGCTCTGGAAGACTTAAGGTTGACCTGTGTTTTTCTTCTTTATAGGTGACTAGTTTGATTGTTTTTCAGTGTCTGGATTTTTCTTTTTGTTCTGGGCCTGTGAAATTTTATTGGAATGTGTATTTCTTTTTACTAATTTGTTTTGGCAAATTAAGTCTAAGTGCTTCAGGCTTTCTTTAGCTTCCCTGTTTCCTTAGGATGTCTTCTGTGTTTCATCCTTTTTCTGCTCCTGAAAGTTCTATAGGATGGGTGTGGGATTTCCTGTCTCTCTCTTTTTTTTCTATTTTTTAAGATTTATTTATTTGAGAGAGAGAGAGAGAGAGAGAGAGCAGGAGGGACAGAGGGAGAGGGAGAGAGAATCTCAAGCAGACTCCACACTGAGCAGAGAGCCCAACACGAGGCTCGAATTCATGACCCTGAGATCATGACCTAAGCTGAAACCAAGAGTCAGATGCTTAATGGAGTGCGCCACCCAGGTGCCCTTCCTGTCTCTTGACTCTTTATTTTCTTTTGCTTTCTCACTCTTTT